TGGCGCGCGGCACGACGCCGTCGGGCTCGTCCCCGAAGGCCGTGCCCATCGTGTACGTCTTCCCGCTGCCCGTCTGCCCGTACGCGAGCACCGTCGCGTTGTAGCCGTCGAAGAGCTGCGCGACGAGCGGCTTCGTCGTCACGTCGTACATGGCGTCGTGGCGCCCGGTGCCGCCGACGGCGCCGCCGGGGCCGTACTTGTGGGTCTTGTCACCAATCTTAATCGAACCACCGGCCTCGTCGATTTTGGACACGTCGAGCGCGCCATCCTCGTGGCCGAGCAACGGCCGGCACCGCACCACCACCTTCACGCATGTTTCCGTGCCGGCGGTCATGGTTTAGAAGTCGCGTGGGCGTCACGCGGGGTGGGTCTCACTCCCTCGGCGGACCGTCGACGTGCGGCGCGGCGTCTCGTCGGGCGCGTCGTTGCCAACAGCTGAACCGAGTGTGTGACTAGTGTGAGGTCGCGACTAGTGCGAGGTCGAGCCCGCGGGGTGGGGTCTCACTCCGTGAGCGGACGACGTGCGACGATGCGCGGGGCACTGGACGACGCGGCGCCCTTAACCGGTTTTTGGCCTCGTCAAAGTGCAACGAGCTCGAGATGCAGCGGTTCAACTTCGGTTGTTGCCATTGTTGCCGTAAAGAGTCGAGTCTTAGTCGTGCCCGGGCCGGCTTCGTGCGGGACGCGCGTTCCGCCCGGGCCAGCCTCGGGGAGGGACGCGAGGCAAGGCGCCCTCTTCGAGTCGGCCGCCCGCGCGCCCCACGAGTGCGCGGTGGACGTCTCCGCCGAAGCGAGCCTTAGACACCAAAAGCGCTACCCCTCCTTCGTGTCCTCGTCGCCCTTGGCCGGGGCCGCGCGCGCCGCCGCGGGCGCCGCGTCGCCGGCCTCGAGCGCGCAGGCCGCCGCGGCCGCGAGGAGGAAGCCCGAGAGGAGCCAGATGGCGCCGAACTCGTAGTCGTGGCGCGCCCTGTAGGTGCCCGAGTCGGCGCTCGGCAGCGTGAGGTCGTAGACGAGGAGGTAGAGGCCGAGCGCGACGACGGAGCCGAGCGTCGTGATCGCGAAGAGCGCGCCCTGCAGGTGGCCCTGGTTCGCGTGGGCCTCGTCGGGCGTGAGCAGCGCCGTGATGGACGGGTAGACGCCCCAGCCGAAGGACGCCAGCGGCACGATGGCCACGGCCGCCGTCGAATCCGGCACGAGGCCCTCGAGCACCGAGCCCGCGGCCGACGCCGCGAGCAGGAGCGCGATGGACTTGGCGTACTTCAGCCGCGACGGGAAGAGCACGCGCGTGCCCAGGAACGCGCCGACGGCCGGCGCGACCGTGACGATCATGAGGTAGCCCGTCGTGATGCCCACGTCCCAGTCGAACTTGCGCTCGCCCCAGAAGAGGCAGAGGTCGAAGATGCCCGTGAGCACCAAATAGATCATGAAGTACGCGGCCGTGAGCAGCGCGCTCCGCCGGTCGCGGAGCAGCATGGGCACGGCGCGCGCCTGGATCTTGACGCCCTCGCGCGCGCACCGCCACGCGTCCTCGAGCGTGTCGAGCGACGCGCCGTCGGACGTCTCCGGCTTCGTCTCGACGAGGAGAAATACGCG